TATATCCCATTGTCACATGGCATTGCCAGGGACTACCTTGGTTGGTCTTAGAACTAAAGTCTTTGATGTGTATTGATGTCAACTGCACTGCTCTGGCAACCGGTGAACAGGTCGTATTTGGTTTTGATTTCATCGCCCATACGTCGCATGCGTTGTGTTGGCAGATGCGACACTGCAACTTCACCGAGCGAGGCCAGTTCTTCGGCGGGTGGAGGTTGGGATGGGCAGGTGAAGTTGCAGGTTTTCCATCGAATCCTGACAGGTTAGGGTCCTTGATATTGCATCAACCGTTTTTTTTCTGACATGAGAAAAAGCCAGAGACATAAGAAGACATGATTTGTGGCAGGGACGACCTGTGATCCAAATTGTTGGACTCCCAGCTCTGGCTAACCTCCGAGGCTTTGTCTTGCGCGCACCTGGTAAGTGAGCGTTTCGATGCATCGAACTTCCGGCACACTTCGAAGCAGGCTATCATCCACGGCAAGATTTGCGCGCTGGAATGCCCAGGTAATCCAGGGAATTTAGATGGATGCCTTGGATACATGCCCATCCAAGTTCACGGACCGGAAATACATGACAGGGAACCACACATTTGAACTGTTTGGCCGTTTCACATTCGGCCGAATAGGTCCACCCACAGAACACCTGGGCTGGTGAACTACTCGTCTGCAATGCAAGCAGGTTTATATATACATGTGTGGATCGAGCTGAGATTCGGTCAGACCTGTTGTGTCTCTACGTAATTACCATGCAAGGGTTCACTCCCCTCCTACAACAGCCATGAATTCAATTGTTATGACGCACCATTCCCTTGGTGAGAGGCACATAATAACTTCCTATCTTCTATTTTTTTCAGCTTTTCACTTGGGGATGTAAACCTTAGTAGTAAGGACCAACAGACCATAAAAGGTTGCGGGCCTTTCGGCCCCGAAGCTACGTTTCACCTTGCTTCGTCCCACTTGGAGGTTCCCAACCCTTTGCTCCGTTCGTAGCGTCCTTGTTCTCCTAGGCCCGCATTGTCGCACGTGCCATGATGGTGCTTCATGTCCGTGGCGAGCTGCCGGACGAGGCTGTCCGTGGCGTCCGGGGCGTCGCATCCGAAGGCCAGGTCTGTGGGTTCAAGTGGGTCTCAAGAGGTTCGGTTCAGCGATTGTTCTGAGGACCCTCAGCGTAGAAAAGCAGATTAACAGAATCGGACACTATTCAATTTCAATTAAATAGATACTAGATATAGTTATATATATATATGTATGTATACTGTAATGATATTTGGGTTGGAGGAGGGCATACTTTACATGAGGGTATGAGAATCAATACTCTGGTTGATTACGGAGCTTTCTCCTCTCCGCAACCTGGCCCTTGGTAACAAGCCAACAGAAGGAACGCTCTGGGCGTTGGGCCATGAGGATTCCCAGCCTCTCAAGGGCAACTGCCTTGAGCTGATGATTCAGCGCACGGCCTGCCGTGGGGAGTCGGGAGTTCGCCAGTTCGCCGGCAGGATACTAGTAGGTTCTTGCTCCAAGGTAGCAAGAATGCTACTAGTTACTAGTATGGCCAGGAGCTACTAGTAGCTTCTTGCTCCTAGTAGCGATGCCCTTTGTTCCTAGCTTCTTGTTCCCCTAGATTGCAGCATATTTAGCCACTGCAGCTTCTCTTTCTCAAAGACAACGGCGAGGATGACGCAGACAGATTCCACAACTGCCAAGAGTGAATGAACATGAGTGTGAGCATCAGCAACAACGTTGTCCTCGAAGTCACCAATAGATACCACGATACAAATACAATCAACTAATCAACTCCATGATTTGCATTCCATGATCCAACAAGACACCAATCAGCTTCAGCCCATGGCCCTTGTTCAACGAATGATGATGTCAGCAAGATCGCAGCCGAATGGATCTCTCCATTGGCTTCAAGACAAAAACGATAAGCCCAGTGGCGCCCGCCGAGTTTGTGGCATCAACAAAGGTGCAAGAACAGCACGCCACAACATGACTGGCCCCCCCCCAGAAGATTTCTGTGACACTTGCTTGCTGACCACCATGGCGCCGAGAGTTTCCCAGCGCCGCTGGCAGATGGCCTTCTTCGGTGAAGCCCTCAGCTTGAATCCCGTCATGCAAAAGCCATGGTAAAAAGGATCAAAGATGAAGATTAATATCTTTCATCATGTTTCATCCAACCAATCTTTGTGCATCTATACGGTCAGACATAGTCCGACCTACAGCTATAGATGAGAACCTTACTGTGTACTGTGTAGAACCTTTTATGTTCATAAAGCTGCCTGCGAGCAGTTTCAGGAGAACTTTGTCGCTAACACCCAGGTCTTGCCCTAGGCAAATCCATTGCCTTTCTGTCGCCACGCATGCGCACCTTGGTGAAAAGAGCGTGTCTAAAATGAGGAAACTCCCCAACCAAGTGGATTTGAGTCTATGAGTCAATGCAAATTCCCGGAGGTCTTGAGGCTTCCAAATTTTGAGACAAGACCATGTAGTTGAGCCCTCGAAAGCGAACCCGAGCTTGCATAACGTGAACCTTGCCAGATACTTTGTTGCCAGGCCAGGTCACCTGGTAGGTCTGATCCGAGTTGAGCCTCAGTGCTGGCAATATCACCTATAGAGGTCTTAGGTGCAGTCTTTGTCTGATTCCAAGGTCACCAAGGTCCGCTGTATGAACCAGTGCTGCACTGCCCAAGGTCCAGCATTGTTGGCATCGGCCTTGGGCAACGTCGCCGCCGTCGCCAAGGTGTTGGGAAAGTGTCGCCAAGAACGTGTTGGGGTGGCGGTTGAGGTATTGCTTGTCCAGGAATCGATCATCACATGCAATGGAGGGTTCTCCGAGCTAAGGTTGGTACTAGGTCTAGGTTTACTCTGCGGAGGGATGCCTCACTCCTTTCATCATTGTTTGCAATATACACAAATACAAACATACGCGTCTACATGTACATGGATTTTTTGTTGGAGGTGATTGATGGACTCACAAGCACCTTGCTCAAAAGAATGAGACCGTTGCGTTTGGGTTCATCTATTTTCATTCTTCTTGTATGTTTTGGCTCATCCCAAGATCTATATACCCATCAGTTTCCTCTCCCTGTTCTACCTGGTGACGGAAGTCCAGCTTTGCATGGAGGCGACCTCGGCAGGATTCCTCCTGCCTGAGACAAAACTGTGCCGTGGAGCAACAACCGGGAAATTCTGTGCAAGTGAATGCTCTTAGAATCAGGATTCGACATATTCTGCGATGACTTATGCACTGAAGAGTGGCGGTGAATGTCAGGAATTAGGCTAAAATCTGCAAAGCAATAATAGTGGGTGATAGGCCCCCCTCTGAATCATACCCGTAGACTCATGGGGGGGGCCAGAGGTTATTTCCAAATAACCAGCTGTTGGATCTGGATCGAAGCAGAGACTGTGCGCTTAAGTCCCAAATTGCAATTCATTTTCCAGCCAAATCATATACTTAAACATTGTCCTCTAAAGCGGAGTTGGGTTGGGCAGGATGTTCGGAGGGACATGGGGGGTGGACATGGGACATCACTCTTTGGGTCACGTAGGACTTGATAGCGATGGCCTCCAACCTAATAGCAAAAGGAACCTAATGCCTAATGGCGCAACAACAAAAAAGATATCCAGAGCGGAGCTAGTAGTAACAGGTGCCATGCTAGTAATAACAAGTGCCTTACTAGTAGTAACAAGAAGCTAGTAGTAGCGGTTCTCACACTTTTTGCAAAAGTCAGGCCCACCTGGACGCCTCCTTGGGCCTCGCTGCCAGCCATGGTGCAGTGCCTTGTTCTGTCGACTTCCGCTCAGATGGTTTCATCAAGCATCATCAAACCACATGGTCAAACTGATGACATAATCAAACATGGTCAAACTGACCACCGACGAGTCGTCGAGAAGATCACGCTGTTGCTTGTTGCCGGTGGTGTATCATCGTGTTCGTTCAGGTGTTGACCTATTGTCGGATTTGTTCTTGGTAGTAGCGTCTTGTTACTTGTGTTACTAGTAGCGTTGCCCTTGTGTTACTAGCAGTGATGCCCTTGTGATACTAGTAGCGATACCCTTGTGTTACTAGTAACGATGCCCTTGTGATACTAGTAGCGATACCCTTGTGTTACTAGTAACGATGCCCTTGTGTTACTAGTATAGCGATGCCCTTGTGTTACTGGTAGCGATGCCCTTGTGTTTCTAGTAGCGATGCCCTTGTTACTAGCAGCGACGCCCTTGTTTCTAGCAGCGATGCTAGTACCAATGCCCTTGTGCTACTAGCAGCGATGGCCTTGTGCTACTAGTAGCGATGCCCTTGTTGCTAGCAGCGATGCCCTTGTTACTAGCGAGCCTTGGAAGCGAGGAGGCCGTTCAATGAAAGTTTGTGGCAGGACACGAAAACATGACATTGGATAACTGCCCGGAAAAGATGCAGAAGGAGAACGCGGATGTCACTTACATCCTGCTTGCCGCAAGTGGCGGGTGCAAGCTCTTCACTCCTTAAACAGCGCTGGGAGGCTTCCGTGCCGTGATTTGGCCACGGATTATGACATTCCTACTTCAAACATCGACAATCGCGGACCTTCCCACCCATTCGGGACGAGTTGATGCTGATAAATATTGTGACGCGCTGCTTGGGGTATATGATCAATGTGGGCGAATCCAATGCCCTCTGACGATGGCATTCGAGGAGGGCCGGTGGAAGATCAGATGTGCAACAGAGCCGGGCGCGGCAGCATCTCGTTGAGCGCCATGCCCCGCGCAGGTGCAGTTCGAGTTTACTCCAGGAACTGCCCACTTGGCCTTGACATCTTACAGTCTCCATGACATCGTGAAGATCGCCATCGCGATCTCCGGGAACCAGCCATTCAGTGGCATCACTGTGCCACCTATACTGGGTTTCTGAAACTGTAGCCTTTTTTTGTTGTACCTCACCAGCCTTGACTTTCCGCACTTTCCTTCACCGGCCTAACTCCGCGCGACCTGGGCTCATCTTCTCACCCGAACGACCTCGCCAGCCTTGGCACGGCGCATTGCCCCATCATAGCGACATCCTGACACGAGCGGATAGGGGTGGGAGAGGGGTGTTAGTCGACCGAGCGCGGTGTGCTGCACTCATCAATCCCTTGCGGTTTCCACAAATGTTCTAGAGAATGAAACAGCGCCGCGGAGCTCGAGTGGTTTTGGGGGAACCCTGAAACGCCCCTCGAACTCGATCCACTTGCCGAGGAGATCTATGCTTGCAAGAACATTGCCCAAGCGTCGCGAGTCGCTTGCTCAGACATGGAATCGGTGAAGTCTAAGTTACATAAACGAGCCTGTTCCCATCACAGGTGACCACTCGCAGCCTCCACGACCCTCGTCGCAACAAAACACAAGGTGATCATCACCCCCCCAGATGGCTGCTCGTTGGAACCTCAGCAGGTGTAGGCGAGACAGGCATCTGTGGCACAGTGGGACGAGCTTTCGTTGAAGGGCATTCAGACACAGGAAAATCATGTTGTCGTTTCTCAGGTGACGTCATATGGTCGTCAGGAACGTTAGGTAGGGACAACAGGAGTGTCTGGCGCGACAGGAGTCAAAGGTGAAAAAGAATCATGTACAGGAGGAGCTGCAATAGCAGGATGAGACGGTGACGGAGGTGGTGTGAAAGGATCTTCAGGAATGGAACATGTTCCAAGCCAGGAGGCAGTGCTGGAGGAGCGCCGACAGGCGCAGTAGACACTGGCGGAGGAGCAGATCCTGGTTTGGACGGCGCGCGACCATCAGAGTTCCAAAACAAATGCAGCTCCAGTTTGACTCACCCAACTTCAACAAGTCGTCAAAGGATGTGACTGGACGTACAACTTAGTTGTACCCTTCTTACGCCATGCAAACAGTACACCTGTGTTGTGTCGGTACCTGACCTTCAACGGGTCACATGTACCTCGCAAAACTGTGGCATTAGCAAATGCCATGGTAGGTGCAAAAGCCTGGCGCATATGTGAAACATCATATGCAATGTGCAACGACGCTGACCAAGGATTGTGTTCATGTCCCTGAGGGATTGAATTAGCACGGTTGATCAAGCGTCGAACATAAAATC